AAGGAGCAGTGGCTTACTACCCATCTGTTCGTGGGGAACACCAGGACCCACCCTCTGGTGTTGTGGCTGCAGCATGGGTTCCTGCATGATGTGCTGCTTTTAAAACAATGCCTGGCTTCTTTCCTTATTCCTGCTCATTACCAAGAAATGACAACTGTACAATTAAGGCACAAAGCAGAGAGGGTTTAGCAAATCATGAACTGTTTTTTAGTTTGTCTCATTAAGCTGCTGTTAATTACTTCAAGCCATCTGCTTAAAAATAATTTACCCACCTTAAGTTTGCTCTAGAGAGCAGGTAGATCTTCATTAGAGCAGGTTTTGTTATTAAGGTTATCTTTAGGAGGCTTTCAGTTGTTTTGGAAAATATTTTATTGCTCACTAAACCAGACTTTCCCTGTAACAAAAGGAGGTGGCACATTTTAACTTGTAGTCTGCTGCCATAACCGTACTGCTGTTCATTTAGAAACTGGCTTCCTGTGGAGGAAGTTACTTACAGCCATTAGATAGACCTGGGTACAAGAAAGGAGAATGAGCTATGTGAATGCCTAGTGTCTGTATTATCTACTATCATCCCCAAAAAACTAGTCCTGGAAAGGATGAATAGCCTGATCCATCACAGTCCCTCAGCTGTAATTGAGGAGGGGGAACCCTGCTGCGGAGGAAAAAACAAGTTTATTTGTCTCCCTGGATTTGTAAAGAAACAATTTCACTTACAGAGAACAAATCACCAGAGAGCCACAGACTCTCCCTCCTGTCTCAAGCTGAGACTCGTTGTGATTTCTGTTCAATGGCATGTACGCTCCTTTCTGACCTGCTCTGTGTTTCTGTGGTTTGCTGTGAAATAATTGTCCTGGTTCTTATCAGAAGAGACAGTTTCAGGAGTAAGCTAATGCATTGCTGATATGAATAAAATCATTTGGAGTGAAACTAGCTTTAGAAATACTAGATCATGATGGTGTGAGAATTTAAAATAAGGTCTGCAACTCAGTCTGTGGGAAAGAGGTGGATGTGATTTTTGGAATATTAGCTGGGAACACAACATTTGACTAAACACAGATCATCTTTTATCAATAGATTAAAAACTCACTAAATATTGCTATGAATTTGATGGGGTTTTGTGTTCAATTGCCTGCTCTTTATTAAGAAGAAGAATGCCAGTACTTAACAGGATCTAAATCTCTTGAAGTATCTGAGCAAAAACATTGCTATAAACTGTAAACATCTTTGTCTTTCTATTAGGATTTCATATGGCTCTTTTTGGCAAGGAGGACGCCTGCAAACAGACTGACTGCACAGGTGCACACAACGTGCTTTCAAGTGTGTGACAAACAAGAAAAAATACAGTGCATTTTTTAATTGCTTTTGGTTGCAATAGTTGAAGGTATTCTTTGCAACTTCAGCTACTATGTCATATAGTTTAAAATAAGACTTCCTGAGGAATCCTGGACTGGAATCCTTTTATGTTTGCCCAGTCATCTGGGCCCACAGTTGAAAAAATCAGGAATGAAAAAAATATCTTGATTTGTCTTGATTGGAAGGGATGAACGTTCTAAAAATGTATACATGTCATTGAACAGGCTGTGGCTTCTGCTATATTTGATATGCCTTCATACTTCTGTTCTCTGTGCTATATTTGTCTTTGTCTGTAAAGAATTTTACTTCTGGATTTCACTGTGAATACTTCATCACAGGAAAAACCTTTAAGTGACTGAGCTAATTAATTTTTTCCTGTAGATCAAATATGTGAAAAATTAAATCAGTTTTTAAATTTGCAAAATACTTACAAACATTTTAAACATAATAGTTACCTTCACGGCTGTTTACTGAAGAGCACTCGGTGCCAAGACGCTATTGTAAACTCAGTTATTCAAATCACGAGTTGTTCTTTTTAGTGCTCTGGCTTGACATGCAGGGTTAGGGATGATTGAAAAACTTCAAAATATTGTATGTGCAAAACATTTTTATGAGCAAAACATTTTGAGCTGAGCTGAATTAAATCTTTGAATATGTCTGAGCTGTAGCTCAAATAGCAGGAGAGAATGATAACCACCGTGGACCTTCTGATGATAAGTTTGGGTAGGGAGCTTTCTTTAGAAGAGAGAGTGGTGCATGATGACTAAAGTCTACAGTTTTCACCAGCTATCTTATTTGCTAAGGAATCTTGCAAAATATTTCTTTAGCATTTCCACTTCTGGTGAGAGCAAGTTGTCAAAGTCCTGCAATCATCACAAAAAGTGTTTTAATTTTCAGTCATTTCTAGTTATAGTCCTTACACAAAATGCAGCAAATTCTGCTTCAGCAACACTTTCTGAGACTAGCAGAAGACCTGAAAAAGATCTTGCCAGGGGTGCAGTTAATGTTGCTGTAGAAGTTGAAAAACTTGCTGTGCTTAAACTTCAGTTCAGCTGTCATAGTGGCCTCCTGCCCTCTGTCTGAAATTTTTTGTGCTCGTGGAGGAGGTCAGGGAAATAAAGACAGCTGTATCTCAGTGCAGTCAGCTCCCTTGAAATACTGCTTTCCTTCTGTGTGAAACATCTCTGTCCGTGATGTCTTATCATGGGCGACCACCAAAAATATTTTCTCTCTCCTTTCCTGCTGCTGAAGAGAAGGAACAGAATTAGCTTGCCCTTTCTGACAGGTATCAGCTGGGGAGTGGTGGAGCCCACTGTTTAATGAGAGAGGAGTGAGGTATGTGAAACGGGAATGAAGAAAACACTGCTGCTGAGAGGTGCAAGGCCCTTGAAAGCCCTTAGCCTTACCGTACTTGCTTCTCAATCGCTGAGTGGGAGGAGGATCTATATCTGAGAGGCTTGCACAGGTCTGTTCTCTGAACACATGAAGAAAGTGCAAAGAAGGCTGTCTAGGGGACGGCTCCGAGTCCTGTGTGTCCCAGTGCTACTGATTCCTGCGTTCCCTGTACTTTCATCTAAGACGAGAAGCAACATGGAGAAGAACTGCTGACAGGAGAGAAAGGCAGCTCTCAAATGACTGCCTGAAGAAGTAGACATGAAATGGGGCGTATTTCTGATCATTGGCTTTGGAAACTCACCTGGAAAGTAGAGTTCTTTGTTTAGGAAATAAACCTTTTCCACTGATCTTCCTGCTCTCTCCTGTCCCGAACCCAGCTGGAGCTGCTACGAGAGGAACAGTCCTGAGGGATATTCAGCAACCCTGTCCTCACTGAGGACTGAGTGCATCTGTGCAAGAAATCTGGCAGAGGAGCAGTGCTGACTCAAGTGACAGAGCTCAGCTGGGCAGGAGGCAGCAGCTTAGCAGAAGTAGTTTAAAACCATACCTCTTGTGAAGATAGTCCCTGAGTAGTGCTGACATGAATTGTAACTTTGAAGTCTTGGGATGGTTTGTTTATTTTTTTTTTCTGAAAACCACAGACCCTTAGTTCTTGTGTCTACAGAAGAGTGTAAATGTGCATTGAAGGAGTAATTTCTAGACCTTGCATTTTGTGGAAGAAAGTGACTCGTGACCTGAATGCCCTCTTACAGCTCAGAGCTGGAAAGCTTATGAAAACTCATTGTTTGTAGTTAAATTGGTGAGTAGCTGGGTGTGAAAAGGCTTTTCTAGGAGATACTGAAATATAAGAGAAGGACCTGAAGTAATTTGCTCCAAATCCACAACCTGAAACTAAATGGGAAAGCTACAGGCTTTCCGCTTGCTCCTTCCTTTATTTAGAAATCCATTGGTAAGTAGCAGAGGAGTCAAGAGGCAGCTGGAAGAGTTAGGATAGAAGCACCTACCAGCTCTAATCTCCTACTCGCATCTTCAGAGACAAGCAGACAGCTGGGGCTGGATGGTGCTTGGAGGAAGAACAGAAGGAGGGCTCCAACCTCTCTTTTACACCTTTATCCTAGAAAGACTGTGAATAATGCCACTTTTTTGAGGTACTTTGGAAAAGGAAGTAGCGTATCTTTTTTTCACCCAGTGAAAGGGAACTTGCATGACTATAATGGCCACGCGTAGGGCAGTGAATTTCTGGCATTCTGTCAAAGTTGGTCTCAAACATTCCCGTTGCCTAGCTTCAGCAGACTAAGACTGTTCTGGTGCCAGTGTTTTGGGGGCTATAACATTGGGAAAGAAAAGATAATGTGCTGTTCTGGTTGGAGGCACTATATCTCACAGAGTGTACAGCTTTTTGAATGAAGGGTGTACTGAGGGACACGAGCTCCAAGGCTGAGTCATACCATCAGTAGGTTTTTTGTGGGGATGTATGATAGTTCACCTATAGAAAAATGTAGGTAGTTCTCATGTCGTCTGTCAGCACAGAATGGGGATGATACTACTCTGAAAGGCAACCTCTGCAATGAGGGGGGGAAAACAAAGTGACAAAAAAAATCTTTTTGTTAGGAGGGCCAGGTTATGTGGAGGTGTATTCTAATAGTCAAGCAGCCTTACCCTGTAGCACATGATGTGGCTCTGCATGGCTGCTCAGGCACAGTGGAACAGCAGGGCTTGTGGTGTGCACTGCATTCTTTCTTTGGCTGAAAGAATTTAAATAAGAACACTTACTTTGAGAAATTAATAAGTCTGTTAAGTAACCATCTTGTTGGAAATAAAAATCTCCTGGAAAGATTAGGTTCTGTATAGTTCATGGCACTTTATAGCCAGCCAGCCACATGACCTGGTTGCATCCTGGATACAGAGATCTTATTAATATACTTTTTTATATGTATTAAAGAAATTTAAAAAGAACCGCAGACACTAGCAGCAAAACAATTAGGTTCCGTGGAATGAAGTAAAACCAGGTTAAAATACATTTTTGATGTGAGAGATACCCTGTGCAGAATGACAAATAGTGAACACCTACAGCAGGTTCCACATCTATGAAGTTCAGAGGTGATAGCAGCTTTGTCCTGCTAAACAGGCTTAAAGGACTGATAATTACACAACTGTAGACCTTCAAAATGTAGGCTTATATTTTGAATAAATTTCAGATACTGTTATGTAACAACTTTAACTTTTTTTTTTCCCCTCTTTCTCTCCTACAGATCACACATCCGTGGGCGGGCTGGGAGACAGTTTTTATGAATATTTATTGAAAGCCTGGCTTATGTCAGACAAGATGGACACAGAGGCAAGGAAAATGTACGACGATGCAATTGAGGTGATTATAATTCATTGAGTTTTCCAATACAGTGGAACTTAAAAACCACCTTTCATAATTAAGGAAAAACCCAGACAAAAAACCACAGGGCTTGTTTTGATTATGTAAGTTTTAAGAAATGAAGTGATGAATATTTCACTGAGTAGTTTTAGAAGTATTATGGTAGAATAAATCTGATGCAGATTATTGTGCTAAAAATAATCAGCTTGTTCAAAAAGATATACTGTAAAAGCCCAAGCTATAGTTTATTAGAAGGAAATCTAAAAACTCTTAAGATGTGTGCAGAATGACCAAGTCACTTTTCTCCGATGTTCAGAATCATTCTAGGAGTTGAAGTCCTGAATTGTTTTATTCTTTAAATTCTTTTAAAAAACATTTAGACGTTATATTCTATATTTATCTTGTAAAATGTAATTCATACCTGTTCCTTGCTCTGTAGTTCTTTTGCGATATGGTCTTGCTCCCTCCCACAGGTCAAGTAGTGCTTGCCCAAGCAGGGCAGTACTGCAGGGTGGTTCAGTGGGATTTGGGGCAGAGTCTTTTTGTGACTCTGAGCTTTATGCTGCCCAAGTCTTACTTTCTTAGTTTACCCATACACAAGCATCTTCTTTCATCAGGCTTACTTATGTCTATATATGCTACCATGCCTGTGCCACAGTTAAGACAGGTAGAGAGTAACCAAGCTAGTTTTAGTCAAGTTAGCTGTGGTACCAACAGCAGCAGGGACCATGTAGTGTTGTCCATGTGTAAATATGTGCTTGGTGCCTAACTTGTTCCGTGCTCTGTGCATGCCGTATTTCTTTCAGTACAAGCTTTTAAAGCTTAGTTGTAGTGCAATCAGTCTCTGAAGCAAAATGCCTGTTCTTGGAGTTCTCAAAATTCGCCTTTTAAAAGGTATATAGTAAACCTTCTAGTCCAAAATTGCTTGGAAGCTGTAATGTGTCTTGTTCCTGACCTGAATTTGATTACATTTGGCTATCAGCTACTTGAACTTTTTCCTTCCCTAGATTGTTTTAAAAGGTTATCTGCATCATGTAGATGAGTACTAACAAAGGTACGATAGGCATTCTCTCCTGAAGAAATGCATTGTTTTCTTTAGTCTCACAATATAAAACAGATTTTGAATTATATCTTAAGCTTTTTTCTAAGTACTTTCCACTGTCTTCAGTACGGAGACAAGAACATAATGGTGGTTCTAAAATGCCAGCATCTGATTTCTTATCAGTATTCACCTCTTTATCCAGCCAAGAGCTATGTTTGCACTCTTAACCTTTGCCTCACACTGTCATCCACTTCCCAGTTGGTTTTACTCTGAAGTTGGTTATAGTCTTTTTGATTTACTGCTTTCCTACTACTGTAATTTACATTCCTGTTTCCTCAATATGTGACCTTATACTTATCTCTATTAAAACACAATTGTTCAGGCAAAACCCATTTTGTCGCCTGTTCTGAATGATTTTACAGGACTGACTTTTCCTTTATCACTGTCTATAGATCCATCAATTTTTGTGTCATCTCCAGTTTTTTTTAGCGTTTGTTTCTTGCAGATCATTGGTAGAAATACTGCCAAGTATTCAATAAAATTATCTTTGCAGAATCTTCATGAGATGAAGATTTAGAAATTTTTTTTTTTACTTTGAACTGTTCTAGCAAGCCAATTTTTAATCCACTTCATACTCGCTGCGTTGAATTTGTTCAAGACTAATATTTTGTACAATACCAAAGAAATTCCTGAAACTCCTAATATCAGCATGCACTTGTCAATCAAACATTTATTTTTGAAACCGCATCATTCATTTTATTAGATTGTTCTATTAACCTTTTAAAATACTGCTAAAGCATCAGCTATTTCCCAGTCCTTTTGAACTTGCTTAGCTTTCCAAGATTTGTCAAAGTCAACATCCGTAGTTCAAAACATCAGTTGAGTACTTTGAATAGTCTCAAATACTGTTTATTGGGTCCTGTGAGTTTAAAAATGTTTAGCAGTTGATGTTTAACATCCATTGTGGTTACTGTTAAAATATTTTATTCTGATTTCTAAACTGTGAGCACTTTAAAATTAGAGGAAATAAACTTCATCCTCTTCTCTGTAAGCTGGGTCTTGCAAACGCTTTGTATCTGCAAATCTCTGTCTCTGAATGGAGACACAGCAAAGCAAATTTGGGATCAGATGAAAACACACTGTGGATAGGAGGGAGAAAGAGCTGAGCTGCTCCCGTTTCATGTGTGGTATCACCTTCAGTGCACGCATCAGATGGTTTCCCCTTCATCTTTCTCAGCTAAACCCACCCATACACATTTGAATCTGCATGAACTGTACTGATTTATGCATTGTGGAACATCCTTCTGGTTCAGGGTTTGTGTTTATCCCAGGTCCTACATTGACACTGAGAGGCATGGGCAAAGAGTCAGTGAGTAGGATTTGTTTTACATAATCGTAATTTGAATTTTTATTTAAAATCTTAAAATATTGTTAAGACCCCATTCCCTTACATGCTTTCGTTGTTGCCCGTAACATAGGTCTTCCTCCATAGCTGATAGTTGTTACTCTTCGTTAAAACTTGGAACAAAAGCTCTTTGTGTCATTTGTGCAAGCAGAAAGGGAAGGGCGTAAAATACATTCTTCCCACTCATAGTGGGAGCTGGAAATGTTCTCAGCACCCACCAGTCTAAAAGGTCTCTGTCCAGCCACACTTCACTCCTTTAGCTTATTACAGGGGGGAGAGTGAAAGATAACCTCACTCTCAAGTCTTGCAGTAGTCATTGATAACCCGTTCCTTGGAAGTATTAAGAGGAAGAAAGATGACAGCATCTGATTTCCAGTCCATGGCATATGAAGCCATACCCAGGTCACCACACACTTTTTGACAACAGTATGAACGAATTCTGTATCTGTGACCTCTGGGTGCTATATAACATTAGTGCAGTCTTCCACTGTAAAGGACATGTCCTTTTGATGTCCTAGTATGTAGATTCACAGCTGTGAAAAGAGCTGAAATTGTGAAATGCTGAGAATTTTTTGTGGTGATAAACACTGAGGGTGGACCTCTTAACTTTGCTTTAGACATTCATCATGTGTATCTCCCATCCAGCCTGGTTTAAAATGTCTTTTCTCCTTCTCACATCAGCCAGAGGACAGGGACTTTTGATCTGTTGCCTTGAGTAGTCTGATCTGTTAGACTCACAAATTTGATCCTCTCTCTTTCTTATTGTGCAGCATTAGCCAGCTAAAAGAAGGATTCAGCAGTGTGTGACTATCACAACAGCATGTACTGCTGCAAGACAGCTCAGAAAATGCTCTTTTTTTTTTTTGTAGTCATAAAAATCACAGGAAGCATGAACATCAGGTAGAGAACATTCTGTTTTCATATCTCAGACTATTGTTTTGGGCATTTCACAGACTAAGGGAGCTTCTTCCATTGGTTAGTCTCTTAGTTGATGTGAACTAAGTCTTTTCTTTGGTAGCTTAATTATACTCCATGGTCCAGCTGGATGTCATTGCTTTACAGCACCTATTGGAGTGCTCTGTGGCCCCAGGCACCCAGCCCATGGTACAAATGTTACATCCATCCCAAAGTGCTCAAGCTTTTCTTGTCCACTAGGCAGTGCTCCCAGCGATGCCCAGCTGTTCCTTGTTAATTACTGTAAATACAGTTAGCAAGCAGTGGGTTGTTGAATGATAAAGTACTTTGAGAAGGTTGCATTTATTTTCTTTTTTTGGGATGCTTCCTTTGCTATGTGTAAGATAGAACTTAATAATTAAGTAGCTGACTGAAGCTGATTTTCAGATTCCAAAAACTACTCATACAAGACAGTGATGTTCAAGTTCAGAAGATGTATTCTCTGTTCCAAAGAGTGGTGCATTGCACCTACATGGTGTTCCTCAGTCAAACCCTGAAAGTAAGCCTAGAGTGAAGGAGTAGCTCATGGAGAAGTGTATAAATTTGGCCTTTGTGGGCTCTCCTGGTGCCAATCACAGTGACTTTGTCCCCCTGGAAATGTTCCTGTGACCATTTACTCCTCAACAGTTATGCAGTTACAAAAAGATAAAATTCAAAAGGGAATTGCACACAACATTTGGGAAAAAAAAGTTTTCCTTCAGGAAATAAATAATCCAAACCCTTTTAAGCCTTCTTGTTCTTCATAGTAAAAGTGGCTTTCCTTTAAAAGGTCTCTTCAACTTTTATGCACCATATAGTCAAAAAAATCCTATAATCATCATGTCAGTTTTGCCACAGTCTAGGATAATTAATGCTACAGATTTTAGTATCATCTTCACTGGCCCAATTTTCAGCGGATCCAATCTTTCCTATACCAGTACTTTCAGAACTGATGAGGCTTCTACAGTTAACGGCATCAGGCTCCCTAGCCGCAGAAGCCATGGTATCACGCCAGTCTTCAATGCCAGTTTGCATGATTGTTAGACAACCACTCTGGCAGCTGTCAGAGACTTATTAGTTTCTGCTCTGTCAGTTATTTCTGTATTCCTCTTGCTGGATCTGGCCATAAGCAAAACTTTCAGATCTGTCAGTGGTATTAGTGAAGAAATTAACCCAACAGGAATGCAGACCTTCTCTTTCATAGACCTTCTCTTTCATTAGCTTCAGATTTCACAGCCTCAATAGAGGACAGTGGAGAAACTTCACCATCCAAATGATGGCTCAGTCCACACTGCAAATAAGGAGCCACACCTTACTGATGATAATGCAGTCTTCTTCCTGCTATCCACTGCATTGGTTTTTACCTAGGACGTTCATCTTGGCCATCTGGGAACTGCCAGATCTTCACTGTCTACATGGCTGAGATATGTAGACTCACATCACTGTAACCATTCAGAAAAGTTCCTCCCAGCACTGTAGCATCTCAAGTCAAGAACATATTCAAAAAACCACAAAGAAACACATACATATTCAGAAACACAGCTATTTCAGATTACTGTTTATATTATTGTCTTCCCCAGAGGAGGCTCCTAATCCTACAAATTCTGCCTTTTCTAATAATTGTGTTTTTAGAAAATTTTTTTGTTGAAGAAGACTTTGGAAGGCTGTCAGATGTTGTTTCAGTACCTGGATGGAGGACTTCCATGTTATCAGATATTGCTGGGTTCAATACAGCTGCTTTAACAGTCCTGTATCACTTAAGCATTAGCTTAAAAAAAAAAAAAAAAGTTAACTTGGAATACCTACTACAGTCACTGAAGAGCTTGAAGCTTTTTGTTTGTCCATTTTGTTGGAAACAAAAGACAGTCTCCCTTTTTTTATTTAGAGGGAAACGCTATTTCTCTGTCTACTTTTACACCTGAATTACAAGTTGCAAGCTTATATTTATTATGATACATAGATTTATTCTCACCTATGTATTTATTGCTTGAATCTGTATTGTAGCTAACTGCACAGTTTGCACTGTGTAGATAGCAAGGAGACAACTGTGTACAGCAGATGTGACCTCCACATCCAAGATAACTACTTCAGTTCTATGCAGGATCCTACGCCTGTGTGTTCTCAGTATACATAGATTTAGTGCAAAATAGAGTTGTGGACATTTGGGGTGTAATTTGTTGTAGGCACCAGAAAACTAATGGAGATGGGTAGTAATTAACTTCTGTAGTAAACCTCGTGGATGGCAAGGAGAGTAGTACATGCCTTTTTAATGGCACTTTAATCCTTCAACTCTGATCAGCCTTGGAGTACTCTGACCAGCCATAGGTCATGCACTTTGAAGGAAGTTGTGGGACCATCAGATGGGTACGTGTGGAAGTACAAAAGAGATTTCTGGAAAGAAGATAGAAATAATGTCTCAATGGTAAAGAAGATAATTATCTTTGTTATTATAGGACTCAAACTGTAACAAGTTTCTAGTTACAAGAAAAACTGTCTAATGCTAAAGATAGTAAGTACTGCAGTAGATGGGTGGGGATTGTGAACCTCTCTGAAGGAGCCTTAAGTAAATATGTTGTTCTGTGGAGTTTGCAAACCTTGGAAAGTTAGGTCAGCTGTTCTGCTTTCTACTACCAGAATAGCATTTATAAACCACAAGCAACAACATATATGGGTAAAAATGTGCAAAGAAAAAGCAGCAGTTGCCTCACCTGTATAATATTTTTTTCTGTGAACAGCTGCTCTAGCCCTCACCCATCCTTTGACCATGTACAATCACAAAGCTGCTGTGGAGGAGCAGCTAGAAGGTGGCAGGAGCATTCCCGCCAGTTTCTGGTACAGGCTGACCAAGAGTACAGGTGCTGCCTTTACATATGTTGCTGACCAAAAGTATCCAATATGGATGTATGTTCTGAGTACACACAGACTGTACAGCTGAACAAATAGGTACTTCTCGGAGTTAACAGGTAGACAAACATTGTTCGAGCTATAAAATATGTGCTGAATTCTTAGCTAAAAGTGCAATGTTATATCTATGTTGTGACTTCCCTATGATTGATCTCATTAGCATTGTTTAGCAGTTAGGGTATCTTTGTGTGTGTGTGTTGAAATTATATTCTTAGAGCTGTTTGTTCCTGTAGTGCTCAGAAGTGAATTTGGTAGAAGAATAAATTTTTTTTGTTTGTTTTGAAAATAATATTTTATTCTTTCAGAAGAGTTAGTATATAAAAGTTGCATGTGAAACAATATTTGAAAGTTCTCTTAATCTTCTTGTAGGCCATAGAAAAACATCTCATCAGAAAGTCCAATGGAGGACTGACCTTCATTGGGGAGTGGAAGAATGGGCACCTTGAAAGAAAGATGGGCCATTTGACCTGTTTTGCAGGGGGAATGTTTGCCCTTGGAGCAGATGGTTCCAGAGATGATAAAGCTGGACATTATTTGCAGCTTGGAGCTGAAATTGCACATACATGTCATGAGTCGTATGACAGGACAAGTAAGATACATTGCTAATCTAGTTATTTCAGTAGTTGAAATACAATTGTCATAATTATTTTTAAGATTTCTTATGGATCTATGCCTTGTCTAACATGCACTGTTTTTATACCAGTATATTTTTTTTAACATCCGTGTATTTACTTCTGATCTGCATCATGGTGAGTAAATGTAAAAGCAGACTTTATGTGGTTCCTTCCTGCACCTTTATCCCTGTTCTTGGATCAGTCAGCTAAGATGGGCTATGTGGGTGCAGGGATGAAGGAGGGTGTGCAAATTCCTGTTCTCCCAGATATATAGGGCAGTTTTTCTTTTCATGTGTACTGTTCTTACAGTTATGTAGAGTGAAAAAAATTGTAAATACATCTTTTTGTCTTTTTAGTAATAGTACATTCTGGGTAAGTACAATTAAACTTGTGAGAATGAAGATTAGTATGCAGACTGTGAGATGGCCAAGGACACGACTAATGAGGATGCGATGTCAGACTTCACTGTTGGGCTGGAAGTTTCTCAAGTTCAGTATTTTGGACTAGGCTTCTTTTACATCTTTAATGGTGACCTTGATGCATAAAGTCGGAGTGTGCTGACTTTCAGTGGCCATAAAGTCATAAGACAATTAAAAGAGAAGAGTCTCAGAACAGATCTTGAGGACTGGACTGTCAGAAATAAGAAGTTCACTAGAAAAAAAATGCAGGAGCTCTTTCTCTAAACTGGGAGTTGAAAAATGCCAGTGCAGTCCTACTCTGTATCATGTGAAGAATTTTCAGCAGAGATTAGAGAATTTTAGCACTGCCTAGAGAAGACACATATGACTTGTCATCCGGAATACACTGTACAAATCTGAATTCCAGGCAGAACGAACGCAGAGAAGGACCAACAGAATGATTAGAACAATAGAGCTTTTATCATACACTGGGAATAAAAGACAGTGGCCTGCTCAGACTAGAAAAATAATGCCCAAGAAGGGAATTTGTCATCTCAAGGGATAAACAGTGAAAAGAAATAGTTACTTTAAGATAAAAACAACACAGTTGTACCAAGAGCAAGATTTATAAGCTTGCCATGAATAAATGTAGGCTGGAAATTGGAAATGGCTTTGTGTAGCCATCAGAGAAGTGAGCTTCTGAAATAACTTCCTAGTAGAAGTAATGGGAACTAAACCTGAAAAGCAGTTTTAAGATGAGAATTCATGTATTTATTCACATGATTACATAGCATCATTGTTAAGTTGCCTGTAATCTTAAAGAATTCAATTTGATGGTCATGAGCAATACAGTTACCTGGAGAAGGAAAAAAAAATGAGGATGCCTAAGGAAAAGGTAGGACATAATAACTGTTGTTGCATTCTGAAAAATTGAACATTGAAATTAAACATTTAAATGTTTAATTCAACATTTAAAAATAGGCAATGCTAAATTTACAGTTGTTTGTGCAGCAGTCCTATTTTTTTTTTCCTTCAGATATTTATTCTGTACCCTAAATAAGTCAAAAAATGGGAGGATAAAAGTTTTGGTTACATATTTAATGACTCTATAAGAACACACACATGAAGGAAACAGAGTGAAAGTTGTACAGACAGCTGTAAATTTGAAATGTCCTGGTTTTCTTTTGTTCACTCAGGCAATCTAAGTAATGTGGATTTTTTTGTTTGCTTTGTTTTTACCTGGACTGATTCTTCAAAGAAAATAAAGATCTGTTGCATGTAGAATGTCAACTTCTTAATTATGCTTTAACAGCAATATTTGAGACATAATTGTACACTTTAGTGACAGAACTAGCTGGTTGCAGAAAAAGACTCTTTTTTAGAGCGCAGACAGTTATCCTGGTTCAGCTGATAGGTTTATGTTTCAGTCAGCAAAAAGGAGAGCCTGATCTCTCCGTCTTACAGACTTGGGAGATTTCTTGCCCCATTTTGTGTCCCCAGAGGAGACAGGAAGGTGCTGAGGATAGAGAGCTCTTTTCTTCAGATAAATCAATGAGAGCTGTCCTTTCCTGTGTCTTCCCAGGGTTGCTCATAATAAACTGTAGTATATGCCTGTTTTTTAAATATTTTGGTATAAAAATAATACTTTAAGAAGCAACCTAAATTTCCATAATGACTGAACATGAGGGAAAAAAAATGCTGTTTCAAGGTCCAGTCTCAGCAAAATCACAACATAATTTCAGAGAACAAATGCACTTCTGGAAAAGAAGGGCATTATGTTGCCAACTGTTGGCAACCTGTTGCACATACTGCAAGTATGAAAGCCTGTATATAAAAAAGAAAGGAAAAAACACCCTTTGATACTACGGAAAGCATCAAGTAAACTAAATTCTGGATTTGCTACTATCTTTCTTTACAGTAATGTGATCATATAAATAATGGAATACCATCTCCAGAAATTCTGGTTTGAAATCATGCTTTCCATGTCTTGCATAAATAAGTAAACAAGAGAACCATGGTGACATGACAGATGACTTAAGGGCCAGGATTTCTGGGTACTGTTATTTCACACAAATTCCATTGGAGTAACAGATGATTTGCTACTATCTTTCTTTACAGTAATGTGATCATATAAATAATGGAATACCATCTCCAGAAATTCTGGTTTGAAATCATGCTTTCCATGTCTTGCATAAATAAGTAAACAAGAGAACCATGGTGACATGACAGATGACTTAAGGGCCAGGATTTCTGGGTACTGTTATTTCACACAAATTCCATTGGAGTAACAGATCTGGGCAGATTTTACCAATGTGATAAGTAAACCGCTCTTTGTCTTGCAGTGATAATCCATATGCCTATTTAGGATTGAGGTGATATTCTGCCATGACATTTGTGGCTGGAGGTTTTTGATGTAGTGGGATTTTTTAAGGCAATAATAGTAGGCTCTCAGGTCACTTGCCCCTCATACATTGCCCTATGTCTTCAGACAAACTTGATTACCCTCTATAAGTCAGAGCATTTGTGGTGGCTTCAGCCTTCTTTAACAAAACAAGACTTTACTTATTTTGTCAAGCTAATATAGCCCTTTCACTTATCTGTTTGCCTCTCTTCTTCGTTTACTTGCCTTTGGCACTGAAGTTATCCCAATTGATGTGAGAAGTCACCTGCTGAATTGGTTGCCCAGACTCATAATTTCTAAGACCATCTCTCTGGTCCCTTGGATGCATTTGCTTCTGTTGATGGCTTCTAAGACCCTTGAGGTCTTAGGCCATTATGAATCCTTCTCCCCTTTCTGGTATACCCCTTGATGTCAAGCATTCTGTTGCCATCCAGTTTGTGCTCTCACCACTAGATCTTCATGGTGTTCAGGAACTGTTGCCCTAGCAGGCAGTCATACCCTTCTCTCCCAGCTGTGACAGGTGGAGGAGTAGATTGTGTTGCAGGAATCCCACACAAACCTATCTGAGTTAGCAGCGCTCCCAAACATATTCTAACCCATTCCCCAACTCAGGTACTTCTTTCAGGTTCCCCAGACTCATGATGAAAAGATGTGCGTTTTGCCACAAATTATTTGGGGAGGATTGAGGACCACCCTGAAGATACAGAATCACAGAATCACAGAATGTTAGAGATTGGAAGGGACCTCGAAAGATCATCTAGTCCAGTCCCCCTGCTGGAGCAGGACACCTAGATCAGATCACACAGGAATGCATCCAGGCAGGCAAACAAAAAAGCATCCTGCTTTTTCACCGCTTTACTAGTGGAAAAGTATCCTCTGCTGCCTATCCTTTCTTACTGTTTTGGCAAGAGCAATCACTTTGCATGTAACCAGCAAAGTTGCTGCATGGTCACAGATTTGCACAGTAATATTGTAGACTGACTTATTTGCCTTAGACTCACTGGAATGAGAACTTCCAACAGGCATTTCAGGTATTCCTTAGTCCCCTGGTATGTGTATCAGTGATCTCTCACAGGATTTTTTGGATGTTCACAGTGCATCATTGGGGCTTGCTGAAGATTTTAGGATATTTGTTATCTTGATGGAAAGTGTGGCACAAGCTAAAGCACAGCATCACCTTTTGGACAGATGGTTGCTGGCATGACACCATGCCACATCTCCCACTGTATCAATAGGACCAGCCTCAGATGCACGAAGCTGCTTCAGAGAGACCACAGCCTGTTGCACCTACCCGCCACTGCAGCACTTGACCTTGAATGTTTCCAGGGACGGGGCATCTACCACCTCCCTGGGCAACCTGTTCCAGTGTTTCACCAGCCTGAGTGTAAAATATTGCTTCCTTATATCTAGTCTAAACCTCTCCTCTTTTAGTTTAAAACCATTACACCTTGTCCTATTGCTAAAGGCCCCGTTAAAAAGTTTATCCCCATCTTTCTTATAAGCCCCCTTCAGGTACTAAAAGCTGCAATCAGGTCTCCTCAGAGTCTTCTCCCAGCTGAACAACCCCAACACTCTCAGCCTCTCCTCACTGGGGAGGTGTTCCAGGACTTTGACCATT